TAGGGATCCTATTAAGGGCTATAACCATAATATATTTATTATCCAACTGTTACTGAGTGGGCAGTATCCAAGGTAAAATCTGTAAATAGCCCCTAACCCTAAATCTTATACATGTATCCGACCTTGGTGGAGGCATCCTCTGTAGACCAGCCCTGGATACTGTTGATAGATCACGCAAGATTTTGTCCATCAACACTTGGATTCTCCAAATGGGGGGCCCTTCAGAGGGGTATAGGAGGATTATGGAGGTCTGTATGAAGGATTCCCCTCCAGACAGCTCACATTGAACCCCGTATAGCTCCCCTTTGAAAGGACAGCAGTCTACAAGGAGACCCTTTTCCAGGTTCCAAGTTCATAGGGGTATAGTCCCCCTTATATAGATAGAATATGGTTTTGGGTATATTATGAAAAGATCCCCATATACCCATATTCTATCTACTTAAGGGGGACTATAGTTTGAGAGACTCCAACTTCCTGCAAGCGAGGCTCTTGAACTTCGACGCGCCTGACTTGTCCTTGATGCATAGCACACTCAGCAACTGTTTGCTCAACTTAGTGGGTTCTATAAGGCTATCTGGGGATGCACAGGGCTTAGGTCGCTCAGGGCGTAGGCTTCTCAAAAGACCTCCGGCATATAAAGGGAAAAATTATGACGATCGGATTTTCAGAATTTAGGCGGACCTTTCGAAACTACGGTGAACTACCCATCTTGGAAGATTTTGCCAAATCATCGACACTCTTTGGAAAGCCACTGCCAGGGACTTTATGACAACCGATCCATTTTCTGCCGGCAAAGGCCAAGCCCAATATATCCTATAGTAGTTTCCATTTTCTTTTCCGTTATCCCTATAGAAAGCCCAATATATGCTATAGTAGTTTCCATATATACCCTAGTTTCCATTTCATTTTCCATGTTCTTTCCATTTGATTCTCCATTATAGTAGTTTCCATTTTCTTTTCCATTAGCCCAATACTACCCCAACCCTGTCCCCTAAACCCTATACCTATATAACCCATTATAGTAATTTCCTTTTTCTTTTCCATTAATTTGCTGAAGCTGCACTGCATAGCCGGCGGCTTCAGTCAGATGTCCCTTTGGGCCCTCTGAAAATTGGGCACCGCGAGCTGGCTGATGTAGTGGGCTATGTAATTCAGATAGGGTTTCGCAGGGATATATCATTATATTGCATTATACTATATAACTATGTAAAGGATCATAATTGAGAGATTGAACTTGCGTACTACATGAGCACCTCAGGAATTCAATATGCGAATTGCAGGGAGCCAAGCGGCGCAGAGCTGCTGAAGAGCTTGCGGCCTCAGCTTTTTTCCCCTCAGCATCCACACTCTGTGCCAAGTCATGCTAGTAAGAAGAAATACTTACTTGTAATAACAGCAACAATTCAAATATCAACATAATCATGGTAATAATAACAAGAATCATAGTAGTACAATCTGGAAGCAGTGATTGTCAATGCTGTCTGGCTGCCAAAGCTCACGTCGCTGCTCTGCCGAAAGCCTTGCCAGAATGACATTGATTTTGGCTTCTCTTAGTACTAATAGTACTAGCAATAGAAGTAGTAGTACTTATGCTAATAGTAATAATTAGTAATAATACAACAAAAAGGACGAATTTGTGACTGGTCTGAAAATCAGTCCACCTGCCAAGGGCTCAAGGAATCTACTGCAAAGAGTATATTCTGAGGCCACTGGAAACGATGCATTGAAGCCTACAAAGGCTTTCTGATGAAATCCAAGCAGTGCCCATGTGCCTGCTCCATTCCGAAGTCTCTCTTTACTTGTACATCTTACATCGATGCGCTAGGTCTTCGAATCTGATTTCATGGCCTCTTCCATAGCTCCCTTTGGGAGATTCGGAGCCTGCAGTTTAGGGCTTAGGGTTCATGTATTGACCAACAAACGGAAGCACCCAAGGGACTCTGCGGAGACCACTCGCAGGCGTTGAATCTCATCCTCCGCAACCTCCAGCTCTTCGCCCAGTTTTTGCAGAACCTCAACGGCTTCTAGTCCCCCTAAGTAGATAGAATATGGGGTATATGGGGATCTTATGATAATATACCCAAAGCCATATTCTATCTACTTAAGGAGGTTTGGGTTCCTCCACCACGGTATGGCCAGTTTTGGCCTTTCGGCTTTCCTCGTTCACATCCTCTTGAGTGGCATGATCCATGGACTGCCTGCTTTGATCGTCGTCCAGCTGGTTTTGGAACCAGGGTCAAGTCTGCGCTCGTTCCGTACTTTCGTCAAGCTCCATAAGAACTGCCATGTTGCTTCGAGACTGCAGGAAGCCGATTTTTCAGTGCAGAGCCATAGGCCCGAAGTCTATTGAAATACTCCCTACTTTGAGCTCTAGCTGCGTCGAGCTCTGTAAAGCCATATGTGAAGCCGGTCCCAACACGGATTGAAAAAAAACGTGCTCTCCTGGTTCTGCTAATATTGTTATTACCATTATTTGATTATTCCTATTATGACTATTATTAATACTATTATTACTGCTACTATATTACTACTCGTACTCTTATACTATTATTACTATTGCTGAGCTTAAAAGCCCCTGGTTGGGCCAAGGTTCTGCTAATACCTCCTCTCGGCTAACATCCCCGCTGAAGTCCGCATCCGCGTAGTCATACAGTTTGCTGCTAAGCAGGTCACATTCCTCAGTCGTCACAGGTATGTCTGAGCCCTGTAGGATCATACGTCATACGTGGCATCCTCCAACAAAGTCTCAGACTCGAGGTATTGATACCATGCAGCGCACTAGATCGACATGTTGTTGCTCTGTTCGCTTCGTGTTCTGAATTGGTCTATTTTTTACGTCTTCGTCTGATTGCCTTTCCAAGTTTTGGAGCCTTTGAATGACACGAGTACCAGTCTAAATAGTTGCAGGCCGGAGTGGCGACAACATCGCCGCTCTCTAACCCGCCCCAAGTACGGTTTCTTACAATTAATAGCTCAACTGCTGAAGGCCCTTCTTGAAGGAATCGCACACCTGCCTTGAAAGAAGTTGTAATGCTATTCTTTCGATACCTTTGGGGCCCGCATCGTCACTTTGGACAATTCACTGAGGCATCTCCTCTCAACCTCAAAGCCTCACAGTGATGGGCAGAATTTGCTGTTATTTTGTTCTTTCTATTCGTTGTTCCGATTGAAAGGTCCATTTCACATCTTTCTGGCGCAGGGTTATCTACGATCCCAAGCTGAGCTGAGCATCGGGATCGGCCCATTTGCCAGGCTGACCTGTGGATCCGAGCACACGACATTCTTCGAAACGTGTGGTAGTTTCCCTGAATAGGCCAAATATAGACCCCAAAATACTATAGTACTATAGTCCTTATTATTGGGACCCCCAAAAAGGTACCCCTAATTTTGGGAACCCCGTAAACCCTATAAACCCCTAAATAACCACAGTTTCCTTTTCATTTTCCATATTCTTTTCCATTTGATTCTCCATTATAGGGGTAAAAGGGTACCCCTTGTTTTGGGAAACGACCGTATGTAAGATCTCTGCAACATGCTACTGGCTTCCGACCTCCCGCTGGACGTCCTGTGCCGTTTGCCATTACCGCGACGATTTGCCTCGGTGTATCCAGCAGCCAGATGACTATAGTAGTCCACTATATAACCCCCTATATAATTTGTAATCCCCTTTGAGGAGTTTCGACCCTAAACCCTTTACACCCTAAACCCTTCAACCCTAAACCCTATATAAGAATCCCCTATACAGTATAATCCCCTTTAAGGAGTTTAGACTATAGCTCAGATTAGGTTTCAGCCTTTAGCATGCCTCCCCAAAACCTTCAGCACGTGAGATGCATGAGATGCAACGCCGGCAGGCAGGCCCGAACTGTTAGGTTGTATTATATTGCTGTTTACCATATTATACTATATCATACAATATTATACTAAAATATATCAAAAAATGTCATATGATATTATATCATATTATATTGGGACTGTCCACGGCGGCGCAATTGGAATCCTGCAAAATCAAGCGGCAACCGCAGCAGGCGCAAGTGTCTCGAAAAAAGCTGGCCATGGCTTAGCAGCACTTTTTTGCGGAGTTGCTGGATGCTGCTTTAACTGTGGGGCTGCTGGTACACGCTCTGAACGGCAAAAACGCCTGATGCAGCGTGGAATCGTCTCCCCAAGCTGCCTCTACTGTTCTGGTAACCCTCTAGACCCTGAACCCTAAACCCAATTCAATTCATGTGTTCTTTTAGTTGTGGAGGCTACTCTTCAAGCTCAAACGCTTCGCATACCGGGTCATGCAACAACACTTCACCGACATCCCTGTCTGTAGCTAGAAGCTTCTTCAGAACTATTGAAGACACGTGAGCCTCCTAGTATCCCCCTTAATAATGGAGAATCGAATGGAAAAGAAAATGGAAAATGAAATGGAAACTGCTATATATAGGGTTATGTAGGAGATTATGGGGGGTTATAGTCTAAACTCCCAGTATCCCCCTTCATACCCCCTACAGCAGTCCCCTATATGATCCCCTAAATAATCCCCTTTTATGGAGTTTAGACTATAGCTCATGTAGCCCTCAAGGAGGACTACTTTCTTGGAGAGGCTGCTGTGCCGAGCTACTGAGCCTGTTCATCGAAGACATTTATTCAAGAGAGATGACACAGAATAAGGCGGAAGCCCCTCTTTCTTGAGAGCCATGTGCCGTATACTCCAATCCTGATTGTGGGGACACTGAAAATGACGGACCCCTAATTTCTGCAAGCCGTCACACTGTCACATTGTCCCATGATTTTGTGACGACTGGCATGCAAGCTTCACAGGAGCCTTGCTGGTGGTTCATGAGGACTGGAGGAATGAGTTGAGAGCACCACAAAGGTGAAATAGTCTAAACTCCTATAGTAATTATCTCCCTTAGTAACCCCTGTAGTAGTGCCCTATATGCTCCCTTATATAACCTCCTTACAGAATTCGGATTATGGCTCAAATGAGATGAAAGAGGGACTCCCTCCTATGGCAGTTTCCCTTTTCTTTGCGATTCCCTACAAACCACTGGCAAGGAGCTGCCTAAGCAGGGCAAGCAAGGCATGCCGTTCAGAGTGCCAGAGGCGATCATGCTCTACCTGGCCGGGAAATAAGCACGGGGATGACTTTCTTGTGGGCTTCACAGGGGCCACGATAATGATCTATTCCTGCATTCCCTACTAATTTGCAAATAAGAAAAGGCTCCAGGAGCCTACCCGCTGGATAACCTTCCCTCAGCCGCAAGCCTTTGAGGTCATAGGGGAGATTGCATGGGAATTTGCCAATCGATTGACACTGTCCACCGCAGAGTTGCGAGAGCCTTACACAATCAGCATCATACAAGCCCCCAAGCAGGGCCAAGGTGCATAAACCTGCTCCAGAAGCTTCATGTCTTCGTAGCGCCTACCGGCATCGAGTGGAATGACTATGCTTTACATCATGCAGAAGAAGGCCGACCCCCTGCCAAAGTCTGAAGCAACTCACGGGAGGGGTGTTGTTGTGAAGCTTGCGCGGATTTATTTCGCCAACGCCTTCAAAGGCTAACATTGTGTAGTTCGACCTTCTACTCGTTACTGGTTAGATGAGTGTACTTTCTGATGATGTCAGTCAATGTCAGTGACTGGATGAGCTAGGACAGCACTGGCTTTGTAGGGCAGCGGCCTTTTCCGAAAGAAACGATTATGTCATCGCCAACACGGCGACGATCCCGCATGATCAATTTGCTGTTAAGGCCGCCGGAATGAGCAAAAATAGGGACAATCCTTTGAGCTGGTCTGTTAATCAGAGCATGACAATATTCCGTGCTGCAGCAGGCAAGGGCGCGCTAACTGCCCAGCCTGCTGCCACCATGGCCGAAGGCACGAACTCGCATGGCCTAGGCAACAACTGAAACTTGGACTCTGACTGCTTTTACTAGACTACGGTATTTACAGGGGGTATAATATTAGGATAATGGAAACTACTGTAGTATAAGAGGGTATATATTGGGGTTATAGCTGCAACTTAGCCCATGCCCTTTACGCAGTGCGGTCAAGTGGCAGCCCCGCTTCCGCTTGTTGCGATGGATGCTGGCAGTTCCTGCAGCTGTCATGGTTTATTGTTGGAGATAAACATGCTCCATGTGGGCCAGGCTGCCAAACTGTCAACATTTGCTTTGGCAGCTCTGACCCCAACCCTAAACCCTAAACCCTAAACCCCAAACCCTAAACCCGAAAACCCTAAACCCTAAAACCCTAAACCCTAAAACCCTGAACCCTAAACCCTCCTGTGTCAAGAAACAGGGACCCTAAGCCTAAGGAGCTGGTCCAGTTGCAGGGCTGAAAAGTTAAACGTATGCTTCAGCTTCGGAGTTGGAAAGTTGAGTATGTTCCCTTTTTCTGGGTTGCTGTAAAGGAACTTGAATTATGTTACCATAATGGGTATATATAGTAAATAATAGGGTTTCCCCAATATAGTAACTTAAATTAAGTTCCTGAACAGCAACTTTTTTGTTGTCCTATACACGAGGTGCATATAGGGGTCATATGGGGATTTATATAGGGTTTATATTGGGATAATGGAAAAGAAAATGGAAACTACTACAATGGGGTTATATAAGGATTATACACTGGGCCTAGTTGTCATTGTTTTGAGCCCTGATTAGAATGCCTGCTTCCCAGGGGGCTGCAATAAGAGTGCATGGCGTGGCGGCCAATAGACCTGAGAGTTGCCCTGAATCAAGGCCAAGTTCTGACAACAAACCCTCAAACTGAACACTGGCGAAAATTCAAGGATTCCATCTGCGGAACGTGTAGGTTCTGCACCCAGAAAAGCTCCGACCCCGGCTGAGAATGGACCTATAATGATGCCACGAAAAATGAAAAATCAAGCTGTTCAAGCACTGGTTTAGGGGTAGTTTTGAGTTTCTGGTCTGCACCTTCGCCATCGGCTCAGAAGGGCAGTTTTCACCCCAGAAGCGGGCTGCTGAGCGAGCTGCAGGAAGCCAAACCTTGCAACAACTTACATCCATTACCAAAGCTCACAGAGGCCCACATGAGCTATAGTCTAAACTGTCCTAATATCCCCCATATATTAATCCCCATTTAACCCTTTTTGAGGAGTTTAGACTGTGGCCCACATGAAGCCTGTCTGAGCACTGCCACAAGCCATGCGAAATCCAAGTGGCCCGTCGGGACGAG